CATCTACCATGGCCCCACTGTTCGCTGCAAGGGCTAACTCATGTCGTTCTCCGAATATGCCTGGCGCGTAGGACAACGCTGTGCCGCGCGTCCCTTTTTTTTACGGCGCCTTTGCTCCAACACCCACTGGTCCTTCGTCAGAGACGTTAAGACTTTCATGCCCCCCCTGGCTTCCTCTTCTGTGATGGGGCGCTTCTGGAAGACCCAGGCACGCGGGTACTCGTCATGCGTGCGGGGATGTTGTGGAAAAAGCGGCGCGCTCTCAAAGGCATCGTCGTCGGCGCGCACTGCAATCTGCCCATCCGTTTGGACCATCAGCACCGCATGCAGCACATTTCGCTCAGATATGGCAATGGCACAGCTGCGCGCGCTCGCTGGGCCCTCGGTTCTGCGCGTGCGCCGCGGGCGGCCATATGGCATGCTGCCGTAGGTTGCTTGAAGCCATTGCGCGCTCCTTTCAGTGGCCCTCTCTACGCGCCTGAGCCACTGATCATTGGCAGGTATCCCTGCTGGTACTGCTGCGGCAGGTGTCCCCGCAATATCTGCTGGTTCGGCTACCAGAGGCATTGGCGTATCAGCGGCGGGCATAGTGACCGTTGCATGCTGCCCCACATTGGAGGATGAAGCAGGTTGCCCTGCAGATGTGGCTGGCGACCCCGCAACAACTGTTGTGCCTGTCATCATCGCCGTGATGCGGTTCAGCTCGTCACGGAGGTCTCTGACATCATTTGCCCCGCGGACGAGTTTTCTTGTCGATCCGCTGCGTTGCGATCCCCAGCAAGGGCATGATGAAACTCAGCTGTGATGAGGCCTACACCCCTACAAATGGCACATGGTGCCTCGCTTGGGGCGCCTTCCAGCTGCTGATCCACATGTGCGTGGGCCACGCGATCCCAGCACTGCGCGTGAATATATGACCACACTGGAGCCTCCACACCGTGTCGCGGTATACAAAGTCTTCCAGGCATATGGCGCACTTGGCAAAATTACCATCGTTGATGATTGGAGGCGTTGCCGATGGCCTGATGCGCGTCTGTCGCTCAAGTGTGGACTCTCCAATATCATACCGACTCGGTGGGACTGCAGGTGCCACTTGCTGCCCCACAGGCATTGATCCCATAGCAACCGCTGCTGGTTACTCATAGCAGGTTGCCCCGCAAGTGTAGGAGCAGCGGGTGCCCCCGCACGATTCATCACATGGCGTAGCCGTCGCTCCTGATTGCGGCGTTGGCGAGCCAGTTGCATTGAGAGATCGGCCTCCTGCACCTCATGGATGGCTACAATATCAGGGCGCAGCTCCCCCATGGACGAGGGCGCTACTAGCTCAGGGCCGCGATTCCTAAACTCCCGGTCCATGGGAGCTGCCAGGGACCCGTAGTGTTCATGCCCAGCGCCGCGCGTCAGCTGGGACCGATAAAAGACATCAGCAGTTGCCCCACCGTGCGGGCTTTCGGGCTGAATGCCAGCCCGTCGGACGCCAGTCTCACGAGCGAAATAATCAGAGAACGTGGGAGCATCCATGGGTGGGGTCGTTGGTTGGCCTTTCAACAGCCGTTGGGTCGCACGTCGGGTGGCCAAAGAATGCTTGGACATATCCAAATCGATTAGGCTGATCAGGTGATGGTTTCGGATCTGGGACGCATTCCCAAGGGGGCGTCGAGCTCGCGCTCGGGAGGTCAATGCCATCCCGCCGCATGTTCAGCATAACCCAACGCATCTGCCTATGCAGCCGCTGCTGCTGCCCCAAGAGGCCCCTGGCCCTCTGGGCAGACTCCTGGTACGCGGCGGCAGGTTGCCCTGCAAAAGCACGTGGAGATGCAAATTGCGATATCGCTTGCAAGGCTTGGTATAACAGAGGATCCATCCTGATACCTTGGAGCCTAGCATGCAAGCTGCTGGTGCCCCCAGCCAGCGCTCTGTGGAGTGCCGAATGGGGTCGTGGCCCTTCTCATGGGTGCGAATGTGGCAGGTGGCCCTGCAGGCGCAGGCAGCTGCCGCGCCTGGGTGCGCCACGGGTCGTTCGCATTCAATCCGTCGTTCGGTGTGACTCCGCTGGATGTCATGCCAGACAGATCAGCATTCTGAGCTCGGATCCATGACCCATCCGAGCCTCCCGCAGGTGTTCCTGATGGCATGCCTCTTGCATCATGAAGACAGGGGCAGGTTCCACCTCTTGCGCAGGTGTCGAGACAGGGACCTTGAGGTTGTAGGGAGTCCTCGGTGCAATCCACCCCATTCAATGTTGATGCATCGCATGGATACTCTCCGCAGCTCCTTGGTGCAGAAGTGGACGCATGCAGGTTGCCCCGCTGGTTGTCTTCGATATACAAGTCATTGACCCACACCTGCCCAACTCGATCGAATTTGCATTGGACACTTTTAGGCCTGATGCCAATAAGTTAAAACATGTGGCTTGGAGGAATCCTGCAATTGTTGTCTGACGTCATGATGACGCAGCTGGGAATGCGCCCCATCGGGATGTTGTCACGAAGTAAATCCTTGAGGCTCACCATGACCAAAACTTCGGACTCTATTCGCAGGCCTGACTGGATCCGCCCATCTCCAGGTAGGTCTGGGCATCCGTGAATCATCTGCCTGCCCTTCCCCTTCGCATGGTCCTCACTGCGGCAAGACAGACCGACGTATAATATTTTCGGGATATTCACCCATTCCGTACCGCGAATGAAATGGCAGGGTGCTCCTGTCTCGGTCAGGTCTGTTACCGTGAGCATAGGGACTCGGGGCATCTAATGCCTAAGCTGCTGCGCCCATCACTAGGACGCATGAAGTACGTCGGGCGGGCTTCCCCGCAGAACTTGAGTTTCTTCACATGGAGCCTGTTACTCTGCATGTCTGAGCTGTCGACCATTTCGCAAAGGTCAAGCGCCGCCAGTGCCTGACCGGCCCAGTGCCGGCCTCGAAGGCAGTTCTCTATGGCGCCCAGGTGGTTGTTGTGAATTGTTCTGCCAGTGCTCCTTTCTCGCTGGTGGCTAATTCCCCAAAGGGTCTCCGAGGTCTACCCAGCCGTCGTGCTCGTCGCATGAGGTGACACAGCTGATGAACTGGTCGGAGAGCGCATCGTGGTGGAATGGCTTGTGTTGTGTACGAACCGATCCTCTACAGCTGATCAACTACAAAAAAATAAAGTAGCTCTAAAGTAACTATGGCGGGCACCCCTTCGACTTCGTTGAAAGTGACCACAGTTTTAACTTGTCAGTGCACATTGCGAATCGCAGCGTTGCAAGAAAAAGCTTGGATGCCCGCGCGATAACAAAGCAAGGGTCAAACGACCCGCAGAGCAGCAGGCTGGCACGCGCAACGAAACAAGAATAGCACATTCCCAGAGGGCGCAAACACCCGCAAACCACGCCGAATCGCGGCCGCGCGACGACATGACTTGGCAACGCCACGCAGGCACACAATTGCCAAACATTTACACAGTTACGCCGCCGCCCGCCGCCAAAACAACGGCGGGCCGACCATCGCGCCGTCGCGCGGCGAGCGGCCTGTTCTGATGACGCGCCGTCGACACGCGTGCAATACAGATATCCGCCACGCCAACGTCGGCGCGACTAGCGCGCGCAGGCGCCCCAAACCATTGGCGGGCGCAGCGCTGAAAAACAGCGCTGATGGCCAAGACTGGCGCGAGTCATCGCGCGGCCGCCGCCCCAGCAACAGCGCCTCGCAAAACAATGCGAGCACCCATAACGGAGCTCAAACAACCCGCCGCGCGCGCGAACGGCCCAACCCACAGCGCCCCTCATCAATGGGGCCCGCGGGGCCCCTTGGTCGCACAAAGACTGTTGTTGGTCTAAGCTCGCGTGCCGCGCGCAAACTGCCGCACCGGCGCGACGCCAGAACGCCCAACGACAAATGTTGCGGGCGTTTGCGCGCGCGCCGAGCGGCGCGCGCACGGCGGTGCAAGCGCAGCATTCAGGAGGAGCTTGAGCCGAAATGCACGGGTAAGCTTGAGCCAAAAAACTTCGACCTGAGCCAGTTGGTAGTCAACCTTCGTTTACTCTTAAGTGCTAGGGTTGCGCGCTTACTGCGTCTTGCCGAGTCTGCGGGGGGGGGGGGGGCGGCGCGAGCGCGAAAGCGCTTATGATATATTGGTGTTTCCACCTCGTGCGCAGACCGCGGGCCATCCTCCCCTGTCACTGTCATCGCGATCGGGCCAGCAGAGCGGGCGCTGCAGTCGGGAACGGGCTCTCTGGGGGCTGGGGGGGCACTCGAATCTCCAGCCCCAAGGCCGATCGCAGCGCCGAAAAGCCTAAACTCTGTAATGCGAGATGTTGCTTCTTATCAGTGGTGTGTTTCTACTGTTAGATAACAAACGTTAGCAATTCTCTTTTATTACTCAGCGTGGTCTGAGCCCAAGCGGCTGGACCAACGGCCCCACGATTAATAACAATCGGGCCGCAGGCGGAAGCAGGCGGCCTCGGCGCCTGCCCGAAAAGGCTGGCGAACTCCAGCACTACCACCATCAATTATATCAGATATCTCCTTGGGGCCCTCGATGATCTGCACAGCGTGCGGCGCCAGCTCGTCCCAGATCTCCTCCTCCCACTTCTTCTGCAGCGGGTTGGGCCACTGGCGCAGCTCCAGCAGCTCTGCCCTGATCTTCTTCGGGAGCTGGGTATGATCCTTCTCGGTCCTCCTGGCCGTGAGAAACAACGCATCGCACTTGCAAACTTCGGCGTGGTGCAGGGTCGTACCGATCGGCTCGAAGATCGGGGGGGCCACTCGCATGCATGTTGCCAGCAGCCTTGCAGGCATCCAGAAGCGCGGCCTCCTCCTCACGGGTATGCGAAAACAAAAACCAACATATCATGGCAGTGGGTCGATATGTTAGGTAGCCATTCGGTAAGCATGGACTGTGTGATGGGCCCTGCGGTTCACCGTAGTTACGTCAATTGCTTGACCAAACGATCGGGGCAACAACGGTTTAAAATCGTTCCAGCCCCGACGTTACCGATCCCGCCACTTCTACCCCACAAGTCTCCTTCTCAAGCTGCTTGTAGGTAACCACGTGGGCCGACATCTTCTTGAGGGGGGGCAGCTCCGCGGCCTTCTCCATCAGCTCCTCCAGAGGGGGCTTGCCATGCCCGTCGCACCGTGGGAGGTCGCCGTCGCCGCCCTTGGACGTAGGACCAAAGATGCGCAACCTCTCATTGATCTTATCTGTGAAACTCTGGGTCCGGTACTCGTGGCCTTTCTGGACCAAAATCTGCACGTCGGTGACGTACGCGTGGGCCACCTTGAATATTTGTCCGATACCGCATTCTTGGGCAGGCCCTTAGAAGCCCGATCGAGCGTCAAGCGAGCGCGCTCAAGAGCCAACATAGCATCGAAAACTGCAAGGGTTGTCGTATCTGGGTCATTGCCGTCAACGCCCGTCTGCACGAAGGCCCCGTGCTTGAGGATCACGGAGTGCAAAGCTTGATACAGCTGGTTGACCTTGGTCCAATTGACCACCTGCTCAAGAGCTCTCGAAGTGAAAACCTCATCGACGCAGACCTGCACCTCGTTAAAGCCGTCGCCGCCAATTTTAGCCTCGAGGAGGGCCAGCAGGAACGGCTTGAAACCCGACATCTTCTGCTTGAGCTCGTCTGGGACTTCGCTGACAGCCCCGACCCCCTCCACGGAGGCCGTCAACTTCACGATCAAAAGTTTCAAAACGGAAATGCCGCCCTCCGCCGTCGCACCTTTCACTGCGTCCTCAACGGATAAGTCCTTCGCAAATGGCACATTGTCGATGGCATCGGTTGAGGCGGTCACTTCCGCCACCTTCTCAGAGCTTGAAATACCGCGGAGTCTTAGGGCAACCTCCTCTTGAAGCACTGCGCAATCTCCGTTGCTAGGCCACTCCAGGGAAGCCTCGCCAATCATCTTCTGCACGTTGTTGAATTAAACGCTGGTGGCAGCAGAATTCCCCTGATGCGGCCTTGACGCGACCTCTCGCGGCGACGCCCAGCTCACCAGAGACGACGTCCAAGCATGTCGGGAAAGGTGCAATCTGCGACCACTTGCCCAGCTGCGCCATCATGCATGCGAGGGCGTCCGTAGCGCCATCATGTCCACGCTGAACCTGACTGAGGTCCTTCTCCATCTGGCTGATCTTGCCACCGTGGTCGCGAATGAATTGACCCATCAACATCGCGTTGTCCATTAGCTCATGCCAATGATCCGACTTGTCGAGGGCGCAGCCGATCTTCGTCACGATGCTCTTGGAGATGCCCTTGCTGGCCTTCTGAAGCGTTGCCGGCGAGGTCTCATGGGCGGGGATCCAACGCACGAGCTGGAACACTGCAAAACTGGATTACAGGCGGTCCACGCCCTCCCCAGAAAGATACAGGGGAGGGCATGGTGACGCAAACTAATGTGGAGGGAAAGGGTCTTCGTCTGGCGTTCATGCCAGCGAATGGGGGGCCTCATTCGAGCGGTGCCCGAAAGAGTTGTTCACGCGACGACGGCGACGACGACGACGACGACGGCGACGACGTCGACGACGACGACGAATATGTTTTTTTTCACGCGGCGACGGCGACGACCACGACGACGACGACGAAAGACGACGACGACGACGACGACGAGGGCCACGACGACGACGAGATGGGACCTGGTGACCTGGCGACCTGGTCCAGAGCCCTCCCTCCCCCCTCAACCTGGTGACCTGGTGAGTTGGTTAAGCCCCGCCCAAAGCTCCATGAGCTGCTTGCTGACGGTCACCTCCGCGAGCATGGAGATGCCCTGAGCGCTGGTGAGGAGCTCCTTCACGACGCGGGCCGCCGTCTCGTCCATCGCCAGCCAATCGCAGCCCGAGATCGATGCCAGAGCCCCCTTCGCCCAGCTCACGAGTTTCTCATGGCTCTCGGTGCCGGCGCTGGTGCTCGGGACAACGATGCCCTTCACGATGCGCCCCTGGTAGAAAGGGGCCTGGGAGCGCATGTCACCCACGCTGGCCAGCCTGAGGGTCTTGAGATCGCTAGGGGGACCCTCCGGGAGCACGGCGTCGGGGTCGTTCCAACAAGACGTCACCTTCAGGAAGCCCTCGATGTTATCACTCTGCCACGCGCCCATGGCCGTCTTGAGAACGACCGCCAGCAGCGCGCTCAGGGGTGGCTGAAAAAGCAAGGTCGCGCGCTGCGATGGCCGAGATATGATTCTGGATGTCCTCGACCGTCACGTTGCTGGCGGCGATCTCGGTATCTACGAGCGCCTGCGCGTGGACAACCACAGCGCGGTAGTTCTTCAACCGATTGCCTGCATATCTGGCGACAACTTGCCTCTGGAGTCGAGTCGCCGCGCGGCCCATCCCCGAGACCGCTCCCCCGTCGACCTTCTTGCTGATCACGTCCAGCAGCCCCGCGCGCCTGGACCAAACGTCGACTGGATCTTGTCCTAGAGGAACGTGTGCACCTATAGCATACCCACAACCTGTTCCCACAATCCTAGAAACGTTTCGAGCCCAGTCTGCCCACCACGTCCGATGTGTGTCAGTACTGCCGGACAACCCAACTGAGCCCGAACTCGGATGCATTGACCTCGATCGGATGAAACCTTTCTCCACCTCCTGTCCCGCCGCCTTCCCCCTGCTAGTTTGCACCGTACAAGTCATGCCCTTGCTAGTAATCCTCATCATCATCCTCATCATCATCCTCAGCCTCATCATCCTCATCCTCAGCATGCCCTCACTCATCATCCCCATCATCATCTTACCCATCATCATCATCCTCATCCTCATCCTCATCATCCTCAGCATCCTCACCATCCTCATCGCCCTCATCACCATCATCATCCTCACCATCCTCATCCTCGCCATCCTCATCAGCATCATCTTCATCATCCTCACCATCATAGTCATGATATTACTCAGCATCCCAATCCTCATCATCATAATCCTCATCATCCTCATCCTCAGCATCCTCATCGCCCTCATCACCATCATCATCCTCACCATCCTCATCCTCGTCATCCTCATCAGCATCATCTTCATCATCCTCACCACCATAATCACGATATTACTCAGCATCCCAATCCTCATCATCATCCTAATCGTCATCATCCTCATCCTCAGCATCCTCACCCTCATCATCAACATCCTCATCATCCTCACTACCCTCGTCCCCATCATCCTCGCCATCCTCCTCGTCCTCACCATGCCTTTACTCATCATATGCCCTACTACCCTTTAGTCCCCCTACCGCCATCCTCCCCCATTTGGCCCAAGAGTCCTGGTGAACCCATATCATCATCTCCCTGGAAGGAGGACGAGGCGTCGTCGACCTGCCTCCCGTCGGGGGGGCTGCCGTCGCCCCCCTCCAAGTCGAAAGAACTCCTGAGCCTGCTAATCCTGGGGGTAGCCATCTCGGCTGGCAGCGTCCGCTTTGGGCTGCCGCCCCTGGCCGACAGCATCTCCCACTCGTCGGCGGCGGCGGCAGCGACCCCAGATCCGCGGTCGGGAAAATCTTGCGGTTCCGCGTCGTCGTCCAACGCCGTCGCACTTGCCTCCTGCGTCTCTTCTGGCATGTTGATGACGTGAGGCGCCGCAGGGGCCATCGTAGGCACTGGCGGATATGCCTTGCGGCCAGCAGGAAGGCTCGACGAGGCAGGAGTGGCGCGAGCAGCATCGGGATTCGCCTTCATCGTGAAATCGGTCAAGGACAGCAAGCCGCGCCCGCCAGGGCAATTCTGCTGCCTGTTGATGGAGTCAGCGCACTGGTTCTGCATTTTGTTGTTGACCATCTGCCAGAACTGCTCATCTGCTTGAAAAAGAGCTCACCTGGCTGCTCGGGCTCATGATCGTAGCGTCGATGCAGACGTACATCGTCTGCCTCACAGTGGCCCTGCGAAACTTCTCTGTGTCTGGGAACCAGTAGATCACCTCGCACCCCCCTGAGCCGCCCTCCTTGGGCCACGCGGACTTCGGCAGCAAGTCGAGGTTCTTCTTAGGGATTTATTTTAGTTCGACCTCTTTGGACAACTCTTTCTCATGCGTGATCATGAAGGGACGCTCAACGTCAACTGCTGTCACACGCCCGTGGGTGACCTCCCCCTCGTCGAACATATTTGCGGCCCCCCGCTTGATGCGCCTCGCGTCGGCCAGTCGACTCTGCGCGACGACGCCTGTGCCGATCTGGTCCAGGAACTCTTTCCACGAGGCCCTGGGGTAGAGCACGGTCTCGATGAACCACCGCTCCTCGCAGGCCGACGGGCCCCTCTGCAGCACCGGCGCCGCGAAGTCCAAGGTCTCCTCCTGCGCCGCGGCCGCCGCCGCCTGCTGGATAGCGGCCGCGGTCCCCCGAGCCCCGCCAGGCCGCGCAGGCCCCGCCGACGAGGACGCCGCGGCGGACGCCGCCGAGGACCACGGCCCGTTGGTGATGGGCCCCACCTCCCAGGGAATCAAAAACATCAAGTCCTCGCCCTCCCATGTCACTCCTTCTACTTCCTCCCCCCCCTCCTCCTCCCCCCCCCCCTCCTCCTCGTCTTCCTGCTCCTCATTCCTCATCGGCCTCCTCGTCCGCGTCGCCCACCCTCCGACCGCCTCCGCCCGCGTCCTCCACCTCTCCCGTCCAGTGGCCGGCCTCCACCGCCGTCCTCCACCTCCCCCGCCCTCCACCTCCCCCGTCCTCCACCGCCGTCCTCCACCTCCCCCGTCCTCCACCTCCTCCGCCCTCCACCTCCTCCGTCCACCTCCGACAAACCCAGCATAATCATCATGATATATGTCGTTAATTACACGCGCCAACATGTCTACGCCCATTCCAGCACAGACCTCACAAGCCGCAATTGCCGTGCAAAGGTGTTCTGTTAATAACACCTTTACACGGCAATTGCCACAATCCACATAACGCGCTGCTAGTAGCACGTGCATGCCTGGACGCGCGCGCTGCGCTACGACACGCAAATATGATCGAGTACCCGCCGACACGTATAGCATACAAAACACGTGGGAACAGCGATGCGGATGGAGGGCGGCTGCGCTCGGAAAGTGCGGCTTCCCTAAACCACAGCACGGCGCGCCGTTTCGTGAAAACACGCATATGCATTGGCAAGTAAAAGGCAACGCTAACGCACGTGTCAAACCACATCTGCATTTTGTATCATTACACGGGGTAAAACACCATAGCAATAAAGTATCCCGTGTTTTAATACCCCGTGTACTACTAATAATACTGCACACACGGGCGCACACACACACAGACACAGACACACACGCACACAAACAACACCAACTAGCATAACATAAAAGTGTGCACGCACACACGCGCGCACAATACAATACACGCAGAATATAAGAATAGCAGAATAGCAGAATAGCAGAATAGCAGAAGAGCCCCCCAGAGGTCCAGAGGGGGCTTCTCGTGGCCCCATCCTGGACCCAGAGGGCCACACGGCCAGAGCAAGCACAGAAGAGATATAGAGAAAAAGAAAAAGAGCAACAGAAGGGCCCCAGAGGGCCAGAGGGGGCATCTCGCGCCCCCCCTGGACCAACGCAGCCATCGACAAGGCTCCGACAGGGGAGCTCTCGTGCCCCCCCCCCCTGGGCCCGACGGCGAACCCCTCGCAGCCGTCGTCGTCGTCGTCCTTTTCGTCGTCGTCTTTTTCGTCGTCGTCGTCGTCGTCAAAGTCGTCGTCGTCGCTGTCGTCGTCGTCGTCGTCGTCGTCGCCGTCGCCGCCGTCGCCGTCGCCGCCCCCATCGTCACCATCGCAGTCGCCGTCGTCGTCGTCGCCGTCGCCGGGCCATTGTCGCCCTCGAATCCGCGGCGCAGGACGGGCCAGCGGCGGGCGCGCGCACCACCAATCCACCACCCGCCCACCCATCCAACACCAACCCGCCAGCCACCACCCACCGACCCACCACCCCCACACCCACCGCCCACCCACCACCCACCCTCCACCGACCCACCGCCCACCTACCATCCGCCCACCACCCACCCACCATCTATCCATCCACAGCCCGCCCACCAAATGCCACCGACCAACCGCCGACTGCCACCCACCCACCAAATACCACCGACCAACCGCAAACCACCACCCACCCACCGTCCACCCACCACCCGCCCATCACCCACCGCCCACCCACCACCCACCTATTACCTATCACCACCCACCCACCGCCCACCCACCACCCACCCACCACCCATCCACCACCTATTACCACACACCCACCTATGACCTATTACCATTACCACCCACCGACCACCTATTACCTATTTACCTTATTACCGCATGGGCGACGTCGCGGCGACGACCGCCCCCCGCCGCCCA